TTCTTTCTTCCTTTTACTCTTTTTCTTTCTTTCTCTTTTTTTCTATTTTGCCTCTCAAATCACACGAGTAGAAAAGATAAACGCTTGGGAATTGATGAAATACTGATCCACCGTATGAATTTACTTACATAAATTTTATATATTACATTTATATAAATTTTTAATAATTTATTTATTTATTTTCATTGATTGAAATTTATTCAAATTTATTAAAGATAATAATTTATTTCATTTAAAAAGTTGTGTTAAATTTCAAGCATTAAAAATATAAAGATCAATGACTAAAATTTTATGCAAATATAGTGTGTAGAATTTATATATAGGTGAATCTCTTTTCATTAAAAAAAAGTGTTAACCTTGCAAAATTAATTAGCTGTTAAGCCTGATTTCTTAGTTTGGTTTAGGTAATAGTTCACTTATTAAAAGTTGTGGACAAACATATGTACATCACTAGTCCATTTTCTCCAATTTTGTTAGAACACAATATGCCCATGATTAATAAGATAACCTAATCTATTCCTTGGTTATTATATTCATTCTCGTTATTATCGTGATAACCTATAGATTAGCACCACTAATCTTCTCGGCTGTCCATTCTCTTTTTCTCTCACTTCCTACTAGGTGTAATTTATGTGAGAAATATTTAGCTGAACGTGTTAATGTCAATCGCTTTATGAATATAAACCTCTTTAATAATTGTATTAAGAATTTGAAATTAAATTTGAACGTTAACAAAAACATTTTTTTGGAGAAAAGTAGTATAAAGAAATTTTTTGTGCTTGAATAAATAAAAGTGACAAAGAAAATTAAATGCAATGGTGGAAGTGATTTTGGCGTGGGGGGAAGGGCATAAATTGGTAGTGGGTGGAGTGTAGGGAAGTGGTGGGGGTGTGGGATGGTGCTAATAAAAACAAAACAAAGTCCAAGAAAATTAAGTGCAAGGAAAGGAGGAAAATTGGGGAAGGTGTGGGTCAAGGGAAAGGGATATGGGGAATGGTTGGATTAGCATTAAAGAAATGTCTTAAGTTTGTATTGTCTTCAGCCCAAGGAAATGCGCCTCATTTCATGTTTCATGGCACATCTTGGAAATGATGTCGCTCTTCACATTTATAGTTTTCAAGTTTAATTATAACATTTAAAAAAAAAAAAAAAAGAGCATAAGCCAAAGAGAATAGGTTAAGATATAATTTTTTTTTTTTAAAGGAGGAGAAACAAAAAAATTAGAGAAACTTGATTTTATTTATGGGTTTGTTTAAGGCACAAGTTAAGCTTTATTAATTATAGAATTTGTAATTAATTTTACATAAATTTTTATATTAAATTTATATATTTTTATAGATTTTGAGTGCAAATATTATATTTTATTTTAATTTTATATTTTATATTTTATTTTAATTGAATTTGGTATAAAAGTTTATATAAAATTAATTGAAGATACTGTATTTAATAAAGCTTAGGGCATAGCTTAGAAAATTCTTTTATTTATTGGCTTTAGGGCTTTTTTTTTTAATTACTCAAAATAATAAGAAAATGAGAATAACACATTTTTATCATATATATATAAATTGATATTAATTTTAGTGTTAGTGCTAAGTTGATAAATTTAATTAAACAATTTGTAAATTAAAAATTAATTTTTATTTTTTCAATACAAATTTAGAATGAAAAAATATATTTATTACACATTTAACCTATGTTCAAAGGAAAAATTTTGAAATAAATCAAACTTAAGCCACGTAGTTTGGCTTGGATTAGTGTTCTAATAGTGGCAATCAAAGTAAAAAAAAAAAAAAAAGCAATGAGAAAATGTTGGTCCTAGAAATTAACACGATGTGATTAAAGAAGTTTCCTCCGACTTCTCTATGGGTTACATTGTATATAAAAGTTTTGCAAATTCAATGGCCTTGTTCAATACCCCAAACCCCATGCACAAGCTTTTATTACCTACCAGGAGACAAGAACAAAAGAGGATTCAAAAAGAGAATGTATCTTAGAAAAATGTATCAAATTTTCATTGTTCTAAACTAGTACTACAATTTTGATCATCCCGACCGTGTTGACTTGGCCGGTCTTGGATTGATTCAATGCATTTTTCCATATAATTAACCAATCGCCAGTGAAAGTTAATAACATTCTAAATTCTTTTGTTCAAATTTCTTACACTAAGAATTTGTATTTCAAGTGGTCTTTCAATTGATTAGAGCTTAAAAGTTTAAGTTATAAGTTACAAATTCTAATAATGAGACAAATAAAAAGATTTAAAAACGAAAAAACTATTACTGCTTTATAGTTCACTAAAACAAATTTTGATTTGTAAAAATTTGAATTCTTAATTTGATTTCAATATCATGATTTTACTGGTAATTATATATAAAACTCAGAATATTAATATTAATTTCCTAAAATAACCAAACTAAAACCCAAAAGTTTTGATTTAACCTACTAAATAACAACTAAGGTGAGAGGTCAAACCTATTATGATAGGCTAATTCTAGTTTTGATTAATTAATTTTCCTACACTAAATTGGTTCAAATAATTCCATCTAAAATTTTAAAAAAGGGCCAACTTTATCAAGTTTTCAAAGATCTCGAAAGACCCATCTCATCTAAAACTCAACATTAAAACAAAAAAAAAAAAAAAATCTAATGTCATACATTTGCAAAACCAAGTAAAAACAGACATGTTGATATTGATACCCTTTGTATTATTACTTTCAAAGCACGGGGTTGTTGATGTTATACAACTTAGGAAAAGAACAATGAAAATGCAAGGTAATGGATGAAAACGATGAGTTTTATGAAAATATATGCATATATTGCCGTGCAGGGCTGTATTGTAAAGTAGAGGTGGGATGTGGGACCAAAATAAAGACAAAATGACTGATGCCATTCCAAGCACTCCCTTTCACATTTGCTATTACTCCCTCCTTTGTCTTGGTGCCTTCTCTCTTTCTCTTTCACCTTCATAAATATATACGATGCCTTTAAAACCCTTCTTGATTTTGGGGAAGATAACCTATTCTAACGTCCCCTTTCTTGTGAGATTAACTTGATTTTCTTTAACTTCCAATTTACATTGCTCACATGCCATATGTACTTTCTCATCTTGTTACAACAATATATATATATATATATATTATACATTTTGAAATGCATAATGTAATGATCTAAATTATTAAATAGAAGTTAGTTCCATTGATAAATATATATAGATAGCTCCATTAACATCAGAATTGTTTTTGCATTCAATGTTTTGCAATCTAATATGATTTAGTTGTAAGATGAAAATTTTTTTATTGCAATTGAATAATTTAGGTTTTGTTTAATTTAGTTTTGATTTTGAGTTTTTTATTTTTATTTTTTATATTTTTAGTACATAACAAGTATTGTATTAAATTAAATTAAATAAATTTAAATTTTTATAATAAATTTAAAAATTTTAAATATAATAATAATTACTAAAAATAACTTAAACCTAAAATCATATGAAACGGATTTTTAATTTAACGTATTATATTAAAATTCATGTCTTTATCTCATCCACATACTAAAACAATTCATTCATTCACACTATAATTAGATTCCATTATTTATTAATGTCGATGATCATTTTTTAACTCTTTTTCATCTAATGAACTATTTTCCTTGGTTGAAATTAAAGAAAGAGTTACGTTTTGAAACCCCAAAAATGTTTCCATCTCTACATGGCATATAGAGAAAATTATGGAATAAACTTCATTGTTAACCTAGAAAGGGGAAACTTGTTTAACAAATTTGTTAATAAAAGAATTCCTAAAACAAAACTTCACTTACCCAACCTATTTAATCTCCATCTCTATACCATTTTCCACAACCAATTTCCCCATCTCTATTAACCTAATTTTCTCAAAATTAAGTATGGATTAAGTTTACATACATTACGGAGAATGAACAACTCATCAACTAATTGTCGGTTGATTATTGGTTAAACAAGTACTAACACTTGGACAGCCTCTCATTTAGAGGAAAGGTCAACCACTAATCCAGGAAATTGTGAATTGGCACAAACATATTACAACCACTCGAAGGAATTGAACATAAAGAACGTACACAAACTAAAAATTTTCCAAGTGTGTTTGAAGATTTCTTTTATTTCTTCCCGGGATTAACAAGAGCTACATCAAGTAATGTTTGACCAGGTGGTCTTAATGAAAACACCAACTTCCTATGAAGGAAAATTCAAACCAACAACCTTGGGCATTAGGTCGGATGCATCGGATAGATTGATGTAGTTGTGCATGATGCTCACCCATTCTCTAGTTTCTAAGACAAGGAATCCAAAACCTAAAAGAAATACAAATGTAGCTGTTGTGGAGGGGTTCGGTTCATCAATCTTCAACCTTAAGTAAATTTTCAATCTTTTCTACCTTTAAACATTGATGTGGAAAGAAATTAAAAATTATATTGTGAAAAAAAGAAACAATCAAACAAACAAAAAGACAGAGAAATTAAAAGGTGACGAATAATTCATTGTTTTTTGTCTATATAACAAAATTATTAAAATACTTTAAATAAATTAACACAAATAAAAATTTTATGAAAAATATTTTGATAATTTTATAATTTATATTGCATTTTTTATACAATATGTAATAAAAAAACACATTTTCATTAAAAGCTAGTCCTTGGAACTTAACTACTCCTATGTATTAGATTACCTATTTCGTTTTTACCAAGTGCAATTCATTCTAGTAATTTATTTAAAATATATTTATGGAAAATGTTTAAATGGTTTTTTTTTTATAAAAAAAAATAAAGAAATATTTAGGAAAAAAGAGAGGGAAATTAAAAGGATATTAATTAGTATAGGTGTTGTTCGATAATAAACACGAGACTTCTCCTTAAGAAAAGCCAACCCCACGCGAAGAAGAAGAGAAGCAAAGGCAACAAAGAAAGAAAGAAAGAGCAGAATAAGGTGTCTCTCTCTTGGACTGATTCCCTTCAATCGCATCTATTTTCTCTCTCTTTCTCTCCTTCCAAACAACCCCAAGATCTGTCTATATATATATTTATCAAAGAAATTACGGGAGACAGAGAAAACCAAGAGAAACAGAGCTTATTATATATCAATCCAAGCAAGGAAAACAAGACTAAACCCAACAAGGGAACAAGGGTCTGTTATGGTTAATGCTAGAACGAGGAGATGAGATGGAATTAGTGGCGGTGGTGGTGGTGGGGGTGGTGATGTGATTTTTTTTTTTTTTTTCCTTTCTTCTCCAACTATTTCACGTCTCCGGTGTGTTAGCCTTTATTGCTAACCTTCACATTGCTTCCATAAATTCTACTTGGCTTTTCCATATTCTTTGTCTATAATGGCCGTTCAAGCTCAATACCCTTCAAATGTCCTCCTCTTAAACAGGTAATCTCCTCGCCTTCTTCTTCTCCTCCCCTGTTCTTCCTTGTCCCTGCATTTCTTCAATAGTCTGTCTAATCTTCTATCTGGGTTTTTTTTTTTTTTTTTGATATGAGCAGAAACGGGCAAGACGGCCATGATTATTCTTCTTCATTGCAGCCGCAACCCGGAGTTGGGTTTCTTGATCAATCTCACATGTTATTCGACAATGGAGGTGTGTGTTGTGATTTTTAATTAATACCGTTGAGAGTTTATACAGACCTGGCAATCTTGATTCTGAAACCTGGTGGGGGGTGCAATCTTGTCTGCAGGCAATAATCCACGCAAGAGGGGAAGAGAAGTGGTAGCGGCGGCGACGGCGAACACCACTGGCGTCGCTGCTCCGATCAATTCTTTCTCTATGCAAACGCAACCCACTCAGCTAATAGACCTTTCTCAGCTGCACAATCAGCAGCAGCAGCACCAACCCAATGTTGTCTCCACCGGCCTTCGCCTATCATTCGGCGGTGACCAACAGCAATTACAGCATAATCATATTCATAATCCACAGTTTCAATATCACCGACAAGAACAGCAGCCGCCACAGCAACAGCAACAGAGTCCAGTTTCCCATTCATCCGCTTTGCTTTCTCTATTGTCAGAAGATTTCGCCGGCCAAATCAAACGGCAGAGAGAAGAATTGGACCAATTTCTTCAAGCCCAGGTTCGGATTTTCTCACCATCCAAACAGTTCCTTTCTTTTTTTCTTGTTTTTTTTTGGGGGTTAATTCTGACATTTGCCGTGCCGTTCCGTTCCGTTCTGTTCTGTTCATTACTAATGCAGGGAGAGCAGTTACGGCGCACGTTAGCAGAGAAGAGGCGTCGGCACTACCGTGCACTTTTGGGCGCAGCGGAGGAGTCGGTGGTCCGGCGGTTAAGAGAAAAACAGGCGGAAGTCGAGAAGGCGACGCGCCGGAACTCAGAGTTAGAGGCACGCGCGGCCCAACTTACCTTGGAGGCGCAGGTGTGGCAGGCAAAAGCGAGGACACAGGAAGCGACGGCCGCCACACTGCAAGCGCAGCTCCAGCAGGCTATAATTAGCGGCGGGGCAGCGCAAGATAGCAGGAGAGCGGAGGAGGGGCTAAAATGCGCGGGCAGAGGAGGTGTGGAGGGCCAGCCGGAAGACGCCGAATCAGCATACATAGACCCTGAGCGCACCGCCGTGTCCGGGCCGGCATGTAAGGCGTGCCGGACACGTGTGGCGTCGGTGGTGCTGCTGCCGTGTCGACATCTTTGTCTGTGTACAGAGTGCGACCGAGTGGCCCAAGCGTGCCCCCTTTGCCTCACCGTAAGAAATTCCAGCGTGGAAGTTTTTCTTTCTTAAAAATTAAGGAAAAACAAAATTTCTACTAATAATCTTCGAGTAAAATAAAATTACAATTTTCTTCCATCTTTCCTTTTTGCATTTTGGGGGTCTGAAATATTCTAGTAGCCCAATCTAAGACCCTTTTTTTTTTTTTTCTTTTTTGGTTCCCCCTCTTGTAGTGAAAAGTACCCAGAGGTAATGTACATGGCCACGTGGGTAGTGGCATTGTTTTTTTTTTTTTTTGGAAAAAATTAATTCATATATAAATTCTTTTATTTGATAATTTTGTTAATTTCCAATGCATGGGCAAAGGCAATTGCAGCCAAATTTGGTAGTGTTTAGAACTTGTTGCAGTTTAATTCTGATGCCTTGGAATAGAACCATAAAATTCTATGCTTCTTAGTTTTTGGCAAATGTTATGGCTTACTGTTTGTTCATATAATGTATACATTGTATTGGATAGGTAACTTGAACCTTGGTATATATGAGCTAAGGTTTTTGGAAATACAAGTTGAAGCCCCTATGCTGGGTTGCATCTGGTCCCATGGTGCCTCTAAGTTCACTGGTCCCATAATTGGAAAAATGATGTATGTGTCTCTAATGGCTATTGGCCAATTTATTTGCTATTGGGTTCCTTAATTCCACAAGAACCTAAATTCAACTCGAAATTTCGATTTGACAACGATTATACACCCATTTAAGATATGGGAGGATCAGAATTGGGACCTCCACTCTAATCACAATGGCATTGAATTTTGGAATTTAGATAAACTTCCTTGTCAACCAAGAGACTGATAAATATAAAGATTATAGAGGCATTAACCACTGATTTTCAAAGAAAGTGGTCTTTCATGCCTAGAAACATTACCATCTACCTACATAATTTAATGACAGATTCTTGCACACAATGAGGGGGAAAAAGCACCCATAATTAGAGGTAATGCTTCTTTTGAATACAACATAAATGAGTCAGTAGAAGATTGGATTAATACAGGACATATCTTATTACATATTTAGATAAGCTGGAATCTGCTAGAGATCACATGCGCATCACATTACATTATCCTATGCAGTTCCACACTCTTTAAAACAAATTTTCTTAATCAATAAGAGTTTAACCGAAATAATATTAATTAAAAGATTTTTATTTTACAATTTAAATTATATAAAATTATTAAATAAAAAATTATTAATATCAAGAAGTTTATCTCATCTAATAATTTAAGTTATACAATTTAGATTATATAATATTTTTTTGATTTACTAATTTTAACAACAATACTATGAGTATAATGTTTATAACATCATATGAGTAGCTGCACAGTCATTCATAGGTAACCCTTCAATCACAATAATTCATTGTAAAATATCATGTCATATTGCACATACTATGGTAGACAACAACGCTGTATCTCTATCATTTTCCAACTTTAAAACCTCAATTTTGAAGTCAAGATCACGATTTAAACATTTGCAATAGGAAAGCACTAACTTTTCTTGCTTATTAAAAAATAATTTCTCTGAAAGAAAGTTAAAGCTCTAATGGAAGCAAATGGAGAGCAAAAGCTAGAGGAAAAGACGAATTACCAAACATATAGATTGATTGCTTCACAAAGAAAAGTAGGGGATTGTGGATTCATATAGCTGTCAGGTTCCAAGAACAATCCCTTGTTGTTTTCTATACAAGAATCACTTATGTGAAAAGCCCCATCTTATACCTTCTCCACTTGAGCCCAAAACCAAACAGAGTTCTTTCAGAAAACACTGTGAAGATTCTTTCTCTAAATCAGTGAACATGGCACAATCTTATCCCAGAAAAACCAGAAGAAGAAAGCAAAATTCAGGACAACTTTCAGTTTTTTTACTAACTTAGCAGGATACTGACTGATCTCTTTCATGTCTTTTTTTGGTTCCTTCCCATTCTCCCATACATCATCTCTCTGAAATCTGAACCATAATTACGCAATTTGGATTCTCAAGAAGCACTTTTCAACTTTGCATTCACAGAAACTCTTTGGAGTAGGTAATGAAAAACTAGAAGAAACTACTTGCTTTTGGTTTTGTTTTTAATCAATGGAAGTGGAGGACAGATGTGTTTGTCCAGGCTCCTGAATAGTCTATATGACACCATTTGTCCAAACTACTTGTCATCATCAACAACCTCTGATTTATACTTCTGATTCAAGCATAAAGCTTAAAAACACCATATTTTTCTATCGTGAGACAATAATAAAAAAATCAAAAAACCAAACCAAACCAAACCCAACACCTTCACCAAAGCTGGTGAGCAAGAAAAGCAGAGGTAATGAGTTGATGTAGGGAAAGAGGGCCCTCTCGATAATGGCAAGGTTGAAAAAACAAGGACATGAAAGATCAAAATTTTTTTTTTAATGTATATTTTAGGTACCCTTTTATCGCTTCCAATGCAGATGCTTTTATCAGTACAAACTTTGGCCTTTTCTTCAACTCAATCCTGTTAGGTATGGGAAAATTAAACTCATTTTTTCATGCCATCAGACTTGTTGTTGATGGCAATAATAATGCAATGTTATGACTTTCATGTTTTTCTTTTCTGGGATTAGCTACATCGAATTGACAAGTACTGTTAAAAAGCAAGTGCACAATGGATGCTCACTATTACCATACCATGGGCATCAGTACCTACCCCTGGAATATGACTAGTCACCATTATTTGGTCATGCTGGTTATGAGCACTGGGTCCTTGGTGTTGGGTCGGTGCAGCCGAACCTATTTTGGGTTTTTAAATGGTTCGAGGTGTGAGATGAGATGTAGATGTAATGGTGACAATTTAGGTTGGGGAGCTGCATTTGTGTCAAGATTTATGCTCTAATTATTAGACGTATTGAAGTTACATGTGAAAAGTAACACATGATTATTTAAATGAAACTTCGTTTTTTTGAATCTTTCCTCACTCGATTTAAGGTTTGAACCAGAGAATCCAACGGCCTAAAAACATTAACATAAACAAAAACAAAAAGGAACCTTAGGCCCAAGAAAAAGAGCCTTGCACATTTGACAATGCTGACTTTTAGGATATGGGTTTGATAAAGTTTAAGAGGAAAAAAAAAAGGCCCAATAGTTGGAACTTACAGGACGGTTGTAAATTGGAATGCAATTGGTAGGTAAGGGTTGGTTTGGTTGGTGGACTGGACAATCATGAAGAAATGGGCTCTCTTGGTACAGAAACGAACCGAAAGGCTCAGTGAGGTGAGAGACTCAGAGTTAGAGATTAGCTGGATCTTGGCTCTTTGGGGCCTAAAATAAAAATCTACAATAATTTTTATAAACATTGAACAACTTTTATATGGGATCTTTGGTTGATTCTTGAATCCATTGAGCAACATAAGAAATTTTGGTTGAAAAAAAAATGGGGGAAAGGAAAAATTTTTAAATAAAGACACGAATTTGATGTTGCTTATACTTGGAGCCTCAGGTACTTAGTACTGAATTATTAATTTATGTAAAAAGCTAATGGGTTTTCTCATTATATTATAAAATATAAGTTATTGAATAGTAAAATAGTTTTTAATATTTAATAATTTAAATTATACAATTTAATGTCGTGTAGACTGTGTTGCTAAATTTTGAATTTTTATAGTTCAACTTTAATTTTAGGTTAGAAAAACATGATTGAAAATGTCAACAGTCAACTTTAGCAAAGCAAAAGTATAATTTTTTATGCTAATTAATGGATTTTCTCATTATATTATAAAATATAAGTTACTGAATAGTAAAATAGTTTTTAATATTTAATAATTTAAATTATACAATTTAATGTACTACATTACTATATTTTAAAATTTTTTTATTGTGCAACTTTAATTTTAAATTAGAAGAACATGATGAAGAAGGCCTATTAACCTAGTGGGTCAATAGTTTAATGTAAGTTTTCTTTATTAGGGATATCAATTTCTTTTGTGACCTGCAAAGTTTTGTGAATATCCCTGCCATAGGGATGGAGACATTTTTTTCTCCGAGAGATTTCGTGGGAAATTTCTTTTGCCCTGTGGAGAACCATGAAGGTGCATCTAAAATAAAAGAAAAAAAAAATTATTTATATATATAGTTTTAAATATATTAACAATTGATTTTTATTTACTCAACTTAATTAATTGGTCAATCCTTTTTTTTTTCAATTTTTCCAAACCCAATTATATAGTCCAATTCAGCCCATAATCTTCTTAAACTTAATTGCCTAAACCCAACCCAATTTGCTAGTAAACCCTAGAACTAAAAAGACTATTTCAAATTTTTAAGATTTGTGAATCTGCACTGTGTCTACAATTCTTCCTCAGCTCCTCCTCTCTAGACTCCGGTCTCCTCTCTAGACTCCGGTCTCCTCTCTTCTGTTCTGTAGTTCATTGGTTTTGTTTCTATTCTTCAATCCGTTAATTCCCTCAACTATCATTCTCAGCAACCTTCGAAAGATATGGGCAATAATCTCATAACTTTTATGTTCATCTGCCTGACTACTTTGTTCAAGTTCTTTTAATCATAAGAAGGTTTGAATATAATAGCTGTTTTAATGAATTTAGTTCAGCATTTTGGTTTTATGTTCTAAAAATTTCAGTTTAGATTGTTTAGAACGGACTGGCGTAATGAAAATAGGGAAATCGAGATTTGTCTTTGTGGTTTTATTCAAAACGCTATTACTGTGAACGATGTCACATGTCACATGGTGTTTCTTGTAAAAATGAACTGATTAATTGGTTGTCTAAATGGAGTTACTGCTCTAGATATTCTATTTCTGCTAGAACAAAGAGTAGTTAAAACGATGGGAATTTCTTTTATTTCTATTTCTTCAAAATTGGTTAAAGAAAGTTTTGAAAGGTATTAAATTAAGGTTTTATTTCTTTTATTTTCTTATTTTTTTAATTTGTATATAAAACTTTTATTATGTTTGAAATTTAGGTTCTAACAATGATGGAAATTTCTTCAATATATTTGAGGAGTTGGAGGAGAATGATGATGGGGATGATGAGTCTGTGATGGGAATGATGAGTCTGGAGTAAATTTTAAACAGTAGTATTTTTTTATATAAATTACTATATAAAGAATTTTTTCTAAAATTTTATTAACTTGAGGTATTTGTTTTTGTTTTTGTTTCAAGAACTTATTTCCTCCACTTGAAATAATTGATCAAGCTTAGTTTAAATTGCTACTGCAGAGTTTGCTTTCCTGAATTGGATGGATGTGTACGTCACTTACTAGACTCTTTTATACCCATTTTATTGATGAGTTTATTGCTGGACATCTATGGCAGTAGTTTATGCATTTTTTTTTTCTATGAAATTTGCTGAATTTAAACTTGTGTGACAATTGCAATTTATGTCCCTTTTTTTTTATGAATCTTTTGCAGGATTTTCTAGACTTACATGGTAATTTATGCTCTTTTTTTTTTCTTTATAAACTTGTTGCTAACTTGCTAGACCTGCTTGACATGTATATATTGACTGTGTATATTTATTGTTTGTTTGTCTTGTTTTAAATTTTTACTTTATGATTATTTGAGTTAGTTTTATTTGATGAATGTGAAAACTAGTGGAGTCTAAGTGGACTCATGTTGAACTTAGTTTTGATTAACAAGTAACGAAAATTTTGATTAAAAAGAAGTAAAGCATGTGATAGCTTTATTTGGTGGAGACTTCAAGTACCTACAAGGATCTATCATTCTCCACCGGTATGAAGACGGAGGTTATTTTTTATTCTCCGCCAAAAATCCCCTTGGGGATCCCCATACCTATCAATGGCAGATATGGGGATCGAGAGGGGGTTTTGCTCTCGTAAGAAC